CACAAGGAAATTGCAGTTCTTCGCTTTCTGGACTTTTATGGACAACACAGTGACATTGTCTATGTGTTTGGTGTGGTTTTTTTTTTTGTTTTTTTGTTTTTTTTTTGTGTGTGTGTGGAGGAATGGGACACAAGGAAATGTTCGGATTAAAAATTTTGGTTTACAATCCTCCCTGGAAGCCAGAAGGGAGTGCTTAAATAAAAATCAGCTGAATCAAGCACAGCTTGACCACAGTTTTTGCTCCATCCTGCAAAGGGTAAGTCCAGGTAACCCAACATTAAGATAGCAGAGACCACCACTTTTAATTAGTCAGATTGCCCCAGCCTGTTCTTTCACACAGTATGCACTGGCTTCTGTTAAAAGTGGAATTCCCCTTTTTGGTGGAATATTTGGTAAAAAACCAAAACGTTGATATCAAGTGCATTTAAAGAATGCATGTTCCCTTACATTAACACATGCTTAACCCTGTTGTAGCAACTCCCATTTTTGGAGGACTGGGTCAAAATGTTCTACCAAGTTCTGTACACAATAACATGCAGCTGCTGAAACCAGACAATGAAAGGATGTAGTGGAGAGAAAGAAAGTTGGAAAAGGTCACAAATCTCACACTTCAGAGAGTCCTTAAGTTTTGTTTGTTTTTTTTGTTTTTTTTTTTAGCTGCCGTTCTTCACATTCAGTAGTCATCATCAGGGTAAGGAGAAGCAGTAAGAACTTCCTATGCTCCTGAGAGGCGGTTGCTTCTGCTCCTAATGCAGTCCTTGAAGGTGATGACGAGACACTGGGCACTCACCAGCTTTCAGCACTCTGCAAACAGAGTAGCTAAGTCCTAGGCTGACTGCTTTTCCCAGTGCAGGAGCTCAATACACTGACAGACAATCACAGAGGACCGTCCAAAGTGGTTAGCTGGTGTGGTGACACAACTGTTGTGTGGACACAGCCAGTGTCTGGAACAGAAATCCAGCAGATTTTACTGTCTCTTGTGTTGGAGAAGGGCTTTTTTTCTTTTTTTGCCATCTCTCTTGGCACACTGCAGAAATCTGTCACTTGTACTACGAGCAATGCTGCCACTGAGATAGGGGGTGATGCTTCTCTTGACACATCTCCAGCTGCCCAAATTGTTGGCAGACTTTCCATTTAGACAGGTGCTGTGAAAACAAAACAACTTATTTTTAGGAAAAAAAAAACATATTCTAGAGTCGTTTTTCATGCATAACCAGTGGAACAAGCTGCAAAGCTATGGAAAAGATGTTTTGATGCTCCTGAGAGAGAATCAGCAGGGGTGAAGCCCTGCCTCTGCCTGGGTACCAGAGACACTGGGGGCCCTCTGCCCTTGTGCTGCAGGCTGAAAGTGCTTCTCCTTCTGCAAATGCAAAAAGTGCTCTTCTGCTAACGTCTCCCTCCCTTCTGAAGGGATGTGAGTGTCACCTTTTGTCTGTTTTAAGCTACTTCAGAGAATGAGATGCACAAAGCCAATCTGTGGTCAAAGGAAACCAGCTTCCTGAGGCTTCTCTACAGGCAGTGGAGGGATCCCTCCATGGAGCCATTCAGAATTGCTCCAGCTCTGTATTTCTCCTCTGTGGAGTATCCTGTCCCACTGACTATAATGGTTGTCTGGAGAGACGAACCCCACTGGGATAAAGTTACTGTTCTTCACAACCTGCCTTCCCTGCAGTTTCCAAAACTTTTTTCTTTTTAACAGCAAAGCTGGTCTCAGTAGGCTATTTTTGTTTTGCAGTACTCAAGATTCCCACCCCCCATGAAACAATCCTACCTTCTTCATAAAGTGAAACCCATAGAAGCAGAAACATATTTACATCAGCACCGAAAAGCAAAATGCTGCAGCAGAGGGTCCCTGTGGGTGCACCTCTACAGTGCCTTATTCCCCATCTACCACACACAACTTGCTTGAAAATCTCAAATGATCACTGAAACAGTAATTTATCCAAAAGCTCATCTTTTGCCCTCAAGGTAGTATCAGCTATTTCTAAATAATTTCTGATAGATACTAGTTTCTTTTTTCATTAGGAAAACAACAGAACAACAAACCTGGACAGATGGGGACTTGACAGCCTGCACAAACTCTCTGCCTCAGTGTTCCACTACCATTACCCTTAGAAAGGCATATTTTCCTAACATTTAGCTTAAATCTCCTTTGTTTAAGCTTGTTGTGCCTTAAGTGCTGTGTCTGCTGGGTTAGGGTAATAAATAACTTGTCCCATCCTCCTTAAGGACTCTCTGAAGAGGGCTGTGTGTACTTAATCAGCCTTGACTTCTCCAGCCTAAACAAACATAACCTTTCTTTCATGAGAGACCATGTTCCCAAGATCATTCTCATTTCTCTGGTATTGGTCCAAGCTGCCCCCAAATTGGGATGCCCAAAAGATACTGCCTTCTGTGCCCTACACGGCTCTGTTGGCAGAAAACAGCCCTCGGAGGTGGGATAGTTTCTGATAGCAGCAAACCACCAAAGCTGCTGTCCCACCTCCTCTTCCACAAATGCTGTGCAGACACGCCAAGGAAAAACACAGTGTCTGGAAGAGAAGTGTATCTGTTTTGTTAATGAACAAATCGTGGTACAGCAGCCTTCAATATTAAATAAATATTTACTCCTATTTATGTCACAGAGGTTTTTCTGCTTATGGGCTAAGTCCAGAGATTTAATCAAATAGGATCTGGTACAAGTTAAGTCTGGAGAAAAAAAGGTTGACCTTAAATTAATGCCTTGTGTTATGTTAATGCAGCTCACAGGAATGGAAGGAGAAAATGTATCTTTATCTTAAGGAGAAAATCCATCCTCCTTTCTACAGGAAACAGTGTAATGCCTGTTTAGCAAACACAAATGTGGATCAGGCTGGGGTTGTGTGATGAGTCTGGAAAATAGCTCACCATTAACCCAGTCTGCATGACCACCAAAGAAGTTATAGAAAAAGTTCTTTAATTTAAGGGTTATTTTGCTTCTGCTTGATATTATGAATTGGGTATGTTCACAGCATCTGCTAGAGCAAACTATGCTTTTGCTATTACAGTTTTGGTGGAACCACAGTATTTTCTGTGTGTTCTGCAGAGACAACCAAGCAACAGTTATTTGCTTCAGTAGAAACTATCAAAAGAGATATAAAATAGGGAGATATTTCATCCTGTCTATACCCTTGCAAGTCCCTTGTGCTGAGGTTTTTTTTCCAAAGTTTTCTTGCATTTTTTTGCCCTGTTCTTATTTTTCTCCCACTATAAATGATAAATGAATTTGTAAACCAGCTGGCCTGCAATATTGTGTTCTTGCTTATAAAAAACATGAACACATTGAAAGCCTAAACTGCCATGAAGCAAATGGTGTTCCTGTATGCCAGCTAAAGACCTTCAAGGATGCAGTGCCTAAAAAGGCAGGTAACAACCATTTGATGATGGGCACTGACATAATATGAAGTGATAACCGTCAGTGCTGTCCAGACTTGAAAAACAGCATTTAAAACAGATTTTCTGAGTTTGGCTCTGCCTGGCTTATAGCATAATGTCTTGTTGGCAACAGTAGCTGCAGCACAGTTGTAGAACAGGACAGGAGGGCTGTCATGCTCTTTCAGCCTGCATGCTCTTTGTCCCCTGTTGATTTGTCATATCCTTTGGCCTGAACTGTTGAAGGAACCTGTGGGAACTGAGACTCTCAGGCTGCTTTTGGCAATGCTTACAGAGCTCAAGGGAGGGGCTGAGAGAAGAAGCAGGGCTACTGCTTTACATGCTTGAGTTTGTAACATTCAGCAAGTCTAATCCAAAGGCTTTATGCAGAGCTCGAGTACCAAAGCCATAAAGTTAAGTCACTCTTGACACAAATACAGTAATATATTTTTAATACTTACAGTTGAATACTCCTTTGTCTTCATTTGATTGGACATCTGTTGAAACAAATGCACTGGTTTAAGCATGGAGGATAATAACTATAGTCTTCATCCAAACAGGATTAATGTTAAGCAACATCCACTGAAGTTGAGGGTTCAATGTGCTAAGTGCTCTTTGTACAGCAAAACGCAGTCCATATTCTATTTGCTTACAGTCTAGGTCGCCATTTCAGCTAGCATAGATTTTGGGTTTGAAGCAATGGCCCTTCTCCCTGTTTTGGGACAGAATCCTGCACCACTCTTGGGTTGTTTCTGAAGGAAAGACATGGCTCCTAGCACAGCTGCTAGAGATGCTGGGCAAGATCATTACCCTGCTTTCTCCTGCTCTTTCTGAAGCACCTGGGCTTGCTAGCCACAAGGGCATGGACTGAACATGTGGTTTCGTCCTTGTCTGTGAAAAGCATGGTTGTCTCTCTTCCCTTTTCTTAGATCTTAGCTCTCGTATACCTGCGAAGTGGCTTACAGTAAGTACTCAGATATATCAGCAGACTCAATTTGGTTCACAAGATGTTTTTTAGAGCTACGTTTTATTCTGTCATGCCAAGCACTGAAGAGTCCTGCACATGGGCGAATGCAGCAATACAAGAGTATGCATGTTTAACTTGGAGTGACAGTGAGACATGCTTTGTTTCCAACTTGTAGAAAGCTGCTTGATCCCAGTGGGATCTTGAACACTTAATTGTCCAGACAGTGATTTTAAAGCTCTCAGGATTGATTTATCCTCTGATTTCTGCTTTGGATTGTGCTAAGCAGAGCGAGCTACTGACCCCAGTTCTGGTCCACGGAGGAACATCCCCTCCATCTGTCCAGAAACAACCTGCAGGGATCACAGCTGAGAAACTGTGGCACAAAGTCTGAGTCACTCTCACATCCAGCAGTTAACTCCTGTGAGGCTCAGGTGCATGAGCAGAAAACCACAAAGAATAACACGTCCTGGGGCACTGTGTCCTCCCTAGGGCACCCCGGGTTTTTTATAATAGCATTATTTCCTGCTGTTGCATGCAGGCAGCTTGCTTGTACTTTCTAGCAATGCGCTGGGTGTTATTAAATATTTTGGCAAACGAAAAAGAATTTTTCAGATGTGGTCGCGTAAATAAAGGGCCTCATTACCTGTGTAGGACACTAGTTTAGAGGACCTCCGTCTCCACAGCCAGCAGGATAAAGCAGCTAGAAGTCCTATCACAATGACAATGGAAATGATGCCAGCTGCTTGAGCACCTCGTCCTTTTTTCTCCAGGTTTTTGTGACTTTCTGTGCTAGATCCATTGCTTTGCTTCTGCTGTGTGTCTAGAATAAAATTGAAAAAAAGAGGTAGTAAGCTGTAAATTTTCACATTGCATGCCAGGCAAATATTTGACCCTACTTTACACAGTCACAAAAATTTCTGAAGGACTAATATCACTGAAATTCTGGTAGCCTTCCTTCTGAGAAGGGCACATCTTTAACTTACATGGTCTAATAATACAATGACAGTTTATTCCTCCCTGTCATCATACTACATACATCCTTCTTTCTTCCTTTTTGTTCTTCCTTCCTTGCCAGCCTTGGGAGACTCTATGTCTGAGCTTATGTCCAGACTCCGTTGAAAATAAACCTATACAGAATCTATTATGTAAATCTGATGGTATTCAGAAAAGTGGGTGAAAACCTGTTTCCCTGAAGTTAGTGACAAATTTCCACTGTTTATGATCCAGATCACATTTCTGAGTATTTCAAGTATGGTAGTGCTTTTAGGAACCAACAAAAAGTATCAAGATGAAGGTCTTTTCCCCTGAAATACAATATGATGGAATGCCATTAGCAAACTAATGACAAGTTTATTTAATTTTCCTTTAATTTGGGATGACAGCAAGGGTATGCTATCATATAAACACTCTACTGTGCAACTTTTGCTTTTGTGCACAATTTTTGCACAATATATATAAACAATAGTTTATATAATTTGGCTATGTTTGTGGGATCACTGTAATTCTGTCCAGAGTATGTGATTCCTTGGCATGTTGAGGTAAACTAACTGTGGGTATCCAGTTACAGTCATGCAAGCAGTCAAACCTCCTTGCACCAGGGTGCAGAAACCTGCAAGAGAAAGGTGTGGCAGGAGGCAGGACCAGGACCAGCAATGAGACTGAACAGCCACCTCCAGAGCTACCCCCTCTCCAGATAGCTTCTCTACAAAGCTGTTTGGAAATAATGAAATCTACACTTGGTACTACAGCTATAATTTTTTTAATAGCTTTTTTAAAAATAGCTTTCTGGTTTTGTGAAGAGTCAGGTATGGGTTCAGGAATCGTGCATCTGCTGTATGGTGCCCCCTGAAAAATAACCTGACTCCTCAAGACATCATGTTCCCGAGGAATCGAATGGTAAAGCCCAGTGACTGCTTTGGGTGCAAGAGCTTCACAGTGTCATCATCATAACGCACTTGACAGGGTGTTCACCTTGATGGAGAAGAAGTAAACATAAAGTCTGTGGCTAAGCATAACTAGTTTGAAACAAAAAATGAGCTCTTGTCGCTCTTTGGAACTACTGTATTAATGCATACCCCTTGTTAGTGCATGTCTACAGACAGAGCCATACTGGTTGATATTCCTGCTATCTAGAAAGCATGAAGTACTGTGAAGGGACTTACAGTTGGCCGACAGATTTTCCCGCAGTATTTTATTTTCTACGGAGCACTCTATTTGCATGTTAGAAGTGGCTTTAACCTTCAATGTGCTAAAAACGCTGTAAGTGCCATCGGCGTGGGGGGTGATTTCTAGCTCTGATGGAGGCAGGTGGCTGTTGTCTGTTTTATTTATCCAATAAACGTTGGGCTCTGGGTATCCATTTCCAGACCTGCAGCTGAAAGTCACCTCCTCTTCAGTGCTGCCACTGTTTCTTATCGGTCCACTGAGTATTGGTTGGCTATAACTAGCTGGAGATCAAGAAAAAAAGAAATAGTCATTGACATGTTGAAATGTATTGAGAAGACAAAATTTTGACCTTGGGGGGTTCTTGAAGGAGAAGTTCTGGGTTTCACACGACCTTCATGACTTGAAAGGGAAACACCTGCAGGTTTGGTATGTGAGCCAGAGAGCTGAGAGAATTACTGGAAGGGCAGAAAGGTGAAGCCAAACTCAAAGGAAGAAAGCAGCTTCTTAAGCTGCTGTAATTCAGTCATGTGCAAGAGCCCTTATATTAAAGAAAACCAAGATAAAAAAAACCAAACACTGGATAAACAGCTGTTAGGGGTATTCTCCCAGTTTTAGATTCCCTATCTGTAACACTTAAATAAAGCTAACTTCATTTTAGCAAAGGGCTAAAGTATCTTTCAAAGTTGGGGGTATGCTTAAATATAATATTGAAATGGTATGAGTTGGAAAAGCTGGAATAAGAATTTGGGCAAATATTTGCAGCTGGTGAAGTTTTTACCTGCTAAACTGAGAACCACTTCTGCCTGGTGAATCAGTTGGGTATATTCAGTTTTCTGCAGTACTACACATTTGTATGTACGTTCGTCACTCTGGCTGACGTTCAGTAGTAGCAGAGAAAAATCACCCTTTTCCAGTCTATCCCAGAATAATTGAGTCCTGTTTTTAAAGTGAATGCACTGTTCACTTTCGTTGTCTTGACCAGAGATCATTACATGTACAACTGAACACTCTTCTTGATCATCAGCTATTTGCCAATATACCCGTAGATTTCTTAGGTGCAACTCTCTTCCTCGATAAATGCAACTCAGTGTAGCGTTGTCTCCAAGTTTACTGACAATGATCTTCTCCTCTTGTGCCATAACTACAAGATTAAAAGAGAGAAAAAAGGGAGGTTATGTGGAAAAAATGTAATTCTTTTCAAGTATATTCTACCACACGTGGGCTCCAGTATTAGTATTTATAACAGGCAGGTGAGTGTGCTCACTTCATAGTCATTCCTACCTCCTGACTTGCTCGTGGCTAATTCTCTCCAGGTCTGTTTGTATGTTTTCCAAAGGTACCTTTTACAATATGAAGCCTTCTGTTTATTTCTTTCTCTGAGGATCAACCAGTCTAAGCATTCCCAGCCCCATGGATAGCTGCCTGTTTCACTTTGCTCACTGACTGGGACTGACTGCGGACGTGTATTCAAGTCCTAATGCTTTAATAATCACCTTTTTCAAATTAAGAAAACTGCCAAATAACATCAGGTAAATCACAAGAAGTGGAAACACTGATAAGAAAAAGAGCACTACCATTATTCTGAGAGCCCAAAAATTAGAAAGGGGAGTAAAAACACTGTTTCTCAAAGTGGGGATGTCATAACAGTCATATTTTATTTCTACCATCTGTGTCACCCTTTCAACAAATATACCCGGCTGGCAAACCAGCATGCCCAGATACATCCAGTGACATATTCATTAGACATTTACAACCTCTCATGGCTACTTGAGTCTCTGGTTTTCAGGGGACTTTTCCCGGCCTCCAGACATGAGAACAGCAACCCCTCCTCCTGGTGAGCACTGAGGAGGCGTGAGCTGGCTGATGCAGAAGGTGCGGGTCAGCTACTCCGAAAGGACCAGGGTGGCTCTGACCGCAGCCTCCCTGCTGAGAGGGACGCATCACCTCTCCTCTGCCCCAGCAGCTGAGACCTCCCTGGTGCAACTGGTTGCTGACTCCGAAGCAGTGTGCGTGTTGTAAATGTCGGACTGGGGGTGAGAGGGGATCAGGCATTGGGGTTGGATGGGAGAGATTACAGCCGGGGGAAGGGATTACGTGGGTGGGTGAATATTAAGGAAAGAAAAATCAAAGGTTTAGAAATGTGGAACTAGAGTACGGTGAGGTGAGAAGTGGCAATGCTTTAGGTAAAGGGGGATGTGTCTTTGTTTTGGTGTGTAAGACTCAAAAATAGCTCATCTACACACCTGAGTTGGGCATAAAAATACCACTGAAGCAAATGCAGTACTTGCAGTGAGGAAGGCAGTATGTTCTATAGGCCCTTACTCTCTGCTGAAGAAGTAACAACAAGGACGCTGCAGCTCAGACTTTGGGAAACCCCTCCTAGCAGCAGCAGAAGTGACACTCTGGGAAGACAGAGGCACCTCCAGCACTGGCATTCTTCACTAACAGGCCAGCTGGCATCCACTGAGACTGTATCTGGTGCAATTTGTCCTGATTTTGGGGCCAGGGAGTTTTCTTGATGACTTTGTTAAGGTCCTTCTCAGTTATTAAGCAAGAACAGAGTTGAGACAACTCTAAAAACATTTAAATATCACAAGGTGATGTAATTTAACCTTACCTTTGTTTTGAAAGGGATTTTTTTGAAATGTAGTAAAAGACTTACTAATACTGGGTACTTGATATTGTGGTGTATAATTCTAGCCATAATATGAGTATGGACTTTACCCAAGCATGTTAGATCACCTGCCCTGATCAACAGCCCTTTTTACCCTGCTTCTAAGGCCTTTTGTTGGCAGACACAAATACTCGGGGATGTCCATGAAGCAAGCAGAGCAACCTAAGCAAGAGCATCCATAAAGTCCCTTGCTATTCTCTGTACCAAAACTGATAAAACTGAT